TTTTAAACTTTTTTTTGGTTCTAATAAAATCCCACGTCATTCTAAGTATGTGTGTCAATTTTTACCTCTCTATCTACATTATTCCGTGATTTATTAAGTTTTCAAATTTATACTGACTTTTGATCACCGGGTATTATAAACTCGGCGGTTTATAAACTAATAAAACTTGTCGGTTTATTTGCCTGAATATGGAAATGCATACGAGAGCTATCTTCTCGACTTAAGGCCTGATATGGAAAAAACCTCATAACAACCATTATACTCCTGTTTGAAAGGATTCATACTCTGGTCGGCTGCATGGGTGTTTTCGTGGTTTTCCATCTGTAACGTGTATACGAGCCAGTTTCCCTTAGAAAGTCCTCCACGAAAGGCATCCCTCCTCTTAGGCAGATAGCCCTAGTGTGCTTTGCCATAATTAAATACACCACACCACACCACACCATCATACTCTGGTCGAACTACCAATGTTCAGCGGTCTTATCCAGGCAGCCATTAACACGTTGAACGCAGCGTCGGTAATTGCTGTGCTTCAGCGACTGAGTATTGGGGGAGCTTGAACAAAGGACTACATTATTTCACCTTATTTTATTATGGTTTCACCTTCATCTTTTTAATTTGTTTCATCTGCTTTTTTCTTGTTATTGTTTTAGTATTTGTCTTTTGAACTGGGATAACGATGCAGGCACTGCACGCGTATACAAAACGGAAGCAGGTGACCTCCTAGAGTTACGCTATGGAAGTGTATAGATTATTTAAGAATAGAAAATTTTGATTTGTTTTTGAAAGTATTTATTGCCTATAATATCAAAAATGCTTGGAAGAAAAGAAGATAATGATATATCGAGTGAATTATTTTTACCATCCAAACGTCGACATCACCAAGTACTATAGTTTTAATCGTTAGAAAACGATAATTTATTAGACCAGGTAATGGAACTTGACACTGACAGTTGTGGCATATATGCTAACGAAACTACTAACCAAAATGAATGGTTTGATCTAAAAGGTAATTAGCCAAATATCGTGGCATTTATGAGTGCCTACAGCTGCTCAGAAACTAACAAATGATAAAGAATTTATTAATAAATTTAAATATATATTTTTTAAATAAATTTCACTGAAACTACTACATTTCATTTTTAACTTTCAAACTGTCGGTTCCTGGCGAGCGACGCCGGCCAAACGGAAAGTTCACTGCCGGTTCCCTGAGATTGACGCCTAGCTCAAAGCGTTAATAGATCATTATTCGGCGAAAGTAAGCCATTTGTACTTTTCCTTATGCTTTCAAGTTGACTTTACACTTCGAGCACAGATCTCTACGAGGATTTTTGGATTAAACTCCACAACTTAATTCATCTCAGCTTGTGGTCATTTTCTTTGATCAAAGAGTGATAAAGAAGAGATTTATTACGTTTTCGATTTTGAATAAGTTACTTACGGAAAGACGGGAAAATTTACTGACATTTATTTTTTTTTTCTTCGACAATCATACGAAAAGAACGTTAAACAGCAGAAATTTCGGTAATATCCACAATATAGCGAATCACAGAAAAGAAAATGGTAAATATTTTCTGTATTTATTGTACTACATTTAAACTATGTATAAAAATTTGCTTTCTTTTGCTGTAATAACGATTTATACTACAGTTCTAGAAAACAAATTTTCTTTTTAACTTACAATTTGTTGGCAATTCTGTGGAGGTCATAGTTCTTGAAAGCTGAATTTCTGATGTCGAATATCTTCAACAAAATTGAGGTATTAAAATATTTCTAAACAAAAGACGCAGGATAACTAACTACAACTGACTTAATTCAGGCATTTCTATGTAGCAGAGAAAATTCACGAACAAGTTTCTTTATATACAGGCTTTCCCGACAGCTCCTTTTTCGGTGGAAGTAAAAGTTCCTCAGAGCTCGAAAAAAAGTGGCATGTATTTTATCCGCAGCCCGCCTATATATCGCTTGAGAGAAAACAACTTAAAACGAGGAAGTAAAAACCTCTGTCCTCAGAGTGGCAGTTTCGAATTTTATTTCAAACTTCTAGAGCGCTTAGTACACGCCCTGCTGTTTTTTTACTGGTGACTAGAAGTCAGTTTAGACCTCAACTGGTGAATTCATTTGTTTGTCAGAATTTTTTGGGATTGTCAGTTTTAAATACACTCATGTCCATAAATTAAGGATAATTCGAAGTTACGCAGAAATCGAACTCTACAATAAATATATCACCTGTAAAATCACTACATATACATCTTCAAGAATCATATGCAAATTTCAGGAAGTAACCAGATGACACCGATGGTACGTCACAATGACGAGAGTGTAAGAGAGTGATATATAAGGAATACAGGCAAAGAAGTAAAATTGTTCGCAGGTGCTTTATAAGCATTTCAGTGCAATAACCGAATACTTATGACACAAAGGACGCATTTGGATGATTTTTTACATGGTAGAATATCGGCCGTCTGGAATGTGGGCGTACCCAACTGGAAGTATCAGACGAACTTGGAATTGCCCAGAGTGTCATCTCCAGGCTTTGGCAACGATTCCAAGATGATCGTAATGTAAGTAGACGTTACAGCACAGGTCACCCCAGAGTTACAACGCCGAATGAGGACCGGTATTTGGCAGTTACTGCCAAAAGAAACAGCGGAGCACAGCCTCAGACCTGTCTCGTCAGCTCTCTTCAGCCACTGGTATGACAATTTCAAGGCAGACCATCTACAGACGCTTAGGGCAGATTGGTCAATATGCTAGTAGACCTGTCAGATGCGTTCCACTTACTGCAACTCAATGTCGCCTGCGTTTAGCCTGGAGTAGAGAGCATGCATTGTCCTCACCGTGCAAACATCGAAAGCGAATGCCCTCAATCGGAGGATATCACCCGTATGGGCTGGCCAGCATTCTCATTGGACTTGAATCCAGTAGAGCACGTGTGGGATATGCTTGGCCGACGAGTTGTAGCCCGTCAACCTCCTCCTACATGTCTACCGGAACTTCGGAGAGCATTGCTTTTTGAGTGGGGTAATATCCCCCAAGATCATATCGATAATTTGGTACTCAGCAGGCCTAGGCGTTGTACGGACTGTATTGCATCGTCTGGGAGACATACAATGTATTAACAATCATATCAACCATGTAATATTTTTTTTTTTTGTAAATAGATTTTTTTTGTAATTTGCTCCAGGGAGAAAAAATCGTTAATTTTTTTAATAATATCAAACATATAGCATCTTTTTTTGCTCTTTACCTTTTTTTAGTAAATAAGCTTTACAAATAAGTCAAATTTGGTTTGCTTCTAACTCTTCCTTTGCCTGGTTTTGAATTATCCTTAATTTATGGACATGAGTGTATTTTATGACGTTGAGAAAATTCTTAGAAATTTCAGAAAGGGAAATGCACACGGCCAACTATAAAAAATGGGCGTCAGGGGTTTAAATTTAATGTGTGCGTATTGTATAGAATTGTAAAGTTACAATTTGAAAGACAGGATTGAAAACGTCTTAGATAGAGCGTTCTTACGCCCATGTTAAATTCTTCTCGAAGCTGCTAGTCTTTAGAATTAAGCTTTTGTGTGACTGCCATGATTTAGCAGCGAAGGGAAGGACACTTGGACCTTCAGTTAGGGACGCACAAAGACTGCTCGAAGAGCGAATTCGCTAAGTAATTGGATCATGAAGGCGCACAAAAATTGCACAATTGTAGAAGTAATCGAATGCTTTAAAATGCAGCAAACAGAATATAAATGATTTTTTATTTTTCATACCTCGAGTTATTTTGTTTTTCAGCAATTTTCGGTGTAGGTATGTCCATTAAAACTTTCAGAGTTAAGTTGCGTTAACAACTAATGGTATAGTTTAGTTTATATTTTCGCTTCAATTGATCCCATTTCAGTAGCAGTAGCCTCAGGATATGTTCTGGCAATTATCAGCGAGTTTGAAGGCGATACGTGCGACTCTCAGTACTTTAAAATCATCCATAAAATTTCTACAGACTAAGAATAAGAAACTGTAAAATAATATATATTTGGGAAAGCATAAGTTAGGTTTTTGTATATTAAAGAGCGAGAGATTTGTTGGCAGGTAAGTTAGAAAATTCGCTCGATTAGAAGTCCGAGAACCTAACTCGTGTTTTAGTTATCTCTACAGTTAATCCTTAGTCTTTGGTACGATTTTGAAAAATCTAAGTTGCATTTTAGGTTATTTGTTTAGCTATAAAATGCAGACTTGTAGATTCATTAGGACTTTAAAAATGAGCAATGCTGTCGACACGACTCGAATCTGGAACTCTCGAATACGCGCTGAGTCTGCTACCTTTACACCACGAAATCATGCAGAAAGAAGAAGAAAATGCCTTATATACTCTCCCCTTTTAAAGGGCGACTGGAAATTAGGGGACCCAAACGCCAAGTTCTGACGGTGAGGAATCATCATCCACCACCTTTTAGTTCCGGCGAAACTGTGTAGAGCCTTTAGGATTTTTTGAAGCAGAAAACACGAAACATGAGCATTGCGCTAGCGGAAACTCGAACATGGATGTTTCGAATACGTGCCGAGTGTGCTACGTTACACCACGAAGGCATGTAGATACGAGGGAGAAAGTACCTGATAAACTTTCCTGAAAACAAAAATACCTCTTTTGAATTTTAAACACCAAACAACTCGCTTGTATACGGATATTTTAATAATTTCGTAAGATTAAAAATAAAAATAAAATAAAAAGCAGAAATCTCGTAGCTAGAGACGATGACTGAGCACATATTTTTTAGGCTTATGAAAACTATTTCTAGTCATGTGGATTTCAGTGCAGTAAGTACAAAGATGTTACAGATGCGTAGAACAAATTTTTTATTTAGAAAATAGCATAACAAGCAAATTTCATCATGTTAATGTAAATTTCTCTGATAATAAGCTATGTCATATGAGTACAAATACACTTTTTTAATGTGAGAGTGATTCATTTCCATCTTGAATGGAACAGCACTGTCACCGGAAGAATAGTCGGAACAGTGGAATGATGCATTTATTTGTATTCCTCTTTACTTGATGCATTATCGGCTTTTTTTCTATTGAATACAAATAAGCTGATAAGTGATATGCGAGGAACTTCAGATAATAATAGTACGAGGACTGGAACATCTATTATGAAGGAAAACAATAATATTCGAATTCCAAGGTAAGTATTAACAATGCTTATTATATGATTTGGTAACCTTTGATTGATGACTTACGTAAAAATGCATATAACCGAAAATTTCTCCTTTCCAAAAGAATTCCAGAAAGTGCATTTTAGCTTGATGTGAAGCAATATACGTAAATCTGCATAAAGTTTGATGTGAACAATGCGAATCTGATAGATAAGGGCCGACTGAGAAAATGCTTAGAAATAACGAGAAAAACATACCTTAAACATTAAACTGAAAGAAAATTAATAAAAGCTCCTAATCCATAATTTTCATATATCTGCATTTTTACTAACCTTAAAATTGTTATTGTTGTTTTTGGACTAATCTTTCTTGTCTGATATCAGACCAAGCCCAATAAATTCATCGTGGCAAAGAGAACGATTGCTCCTGTCGTTGGCAAAAGTCTTGAGCACCATACAGGACTTCATTTCCGCCCCAATTTTGAAGGAAAGCACTCCGGGGGACGGGTCCAAGTGTCTCCCGCCTCTCTTCCTTTTTCACCAATCTCGAGAGAGAACTTTAGGTTCGCCTCATATTTTTAGTGTCCTCATGCCAGACACTACAAATTTACAAACATCCGTACATTCTCCGGGATTCGAAACCGGGCCTTTCGGTACGACAGGGTCACTAATCACTATCTCACTTGGGTGGCAACCTTAAAATTATACATTTTGATTCATTTTAAAAAAGTAACGGTTTGCTTATTTTTGTAATTTTGTTTCTCTTAGAATTCAACAGAATCTGTAGATATGTTTGAGGTAAAGTGAAATTTGTCAAATATTTAATGTTTTCAAAACCAAAGTAAAATAGCTCTTTTTTTAAGGAAATAAGCACATACAATATGCGTAAAAACTGATGGTTTGGATTATCCGTGTTTTCCAATTATCGGTGACCTGCTTCCCCTGCAGTAACCTGAATAATCGAAACTACACTATGTTAGAAAATTCGCATAGTTGTCATAAACTCGTGAATTTTCTGCCACCACCCCGTGAGGTCTTTGCTTCAGATGAAAATTAAAAGAGATGTAAATTCAAAATATAATAAATTAAACATTAAAGTGAAAAGAGTAAAAATATATTTAAGTGAGCATAGCTCGAGATTTGTTTCAGAGGAATTAAAATGTGTTGGCAAAATTCTGCCACCAAATATGCCTTTCTCATGTTCTAACTCCCACAAAAATGTGAATTAATTCTCTCTGAGATTAGTGTAAATTAATCTCATATTTTTATAGCTGTCTGTTGGTCCTACGTTTTCTCGAAGAAGTAATAAAACTTTAAACATATGAGCCAAATAACTGTGCATAACAGCTTCCTGTACTTGATATTTTTCTGTTGTAAATTTTTCCCATTTCTATAATTTCTCTGCAATGCTACCGTTTAAATACCTTATGTTTATTTCAACCGAATTCAGTTACCTTATTTTCTCAAGAAAAAGTTTAATATATCCTTTCTGTTGGCTTAATAGTATCTGATAGCTCTGTTATAAAATGTAGAATATGGTAATGTAATGTTTCATTTCCCAGCGAAGTTCAGTGCTGTAAAATTCATATGTTGTTCGGGTAATGAAAAATACATTTTAAAGCGATTTTACTAAAACTTCAGTTTACGTCTTTTTAATTTATTGAAAAAATTTTTTGTTGATTATCCCCACATATCTTTGCTTAGGGAACAAAAAAAAATTTGAATCTTTTAATTATAGAATTTTTAACGTCAAATACGGATTTCGAACAATATTCGAAAATCGTTCGATTTTCTCACCAATTCAGGTTTAATTATTTTAATATTTCAACATACAGAAATGTATTGTTGCGTGCGTACGTGTTCGTAATAAATTGAAAGCACAATTCCGATGAAAAGTGAATAAAATTTATTATTATCCCAAGAAATAAAACAAAAGGCTTAAATTTCCTCAGATATTCGTACAATATTGCAATATCTCACAGTAGTTATCTTTTAAACTACTCAAACGTTAAACAGAACTTAATTCAAAGAGCTAATCTGCTAATGTGAGAGAAATCTAATCTGATTTTCACCGCCAGTTCGCCACACTAAACAACAGTTTCTAAACAAACTCACAAAACAACTGAGCTGATATGTTTTCCTCCAGTTCTTTATAAGCTTTTTAAATGCACGAGAAAATTCTCGTATTTTCTCAATATTTTTCCCAAAAAGCAAAAGTGTACAATTACGAGATATCTATTTATTAAATGCGTGTGCTCCTGTATTTTTAATTTTTCGGCGTAGCTTTCTCTTCAACTAAGTCTCGTGCTGCATTGCACGGGGATATAAAACAATTTTAATTAATTCTATTTAAAAATAGCTAAATCAATATAAAAATCGTAACAGTATCAATAATAACGTTTTGAAATTTTCACAGCTTCTAAAAACTACCTCGTTTTGCTTTCTCTTAAAACAAGAATGATAAAATTTGCTAATTGGGTAATTTTATAGATTTTTTTTTAGTTTATGTTGTGTTATGACTTTAAGCAACAAGGGAAGTTTTCGTTTTTCTTTGTGCATCACGCACTTTCCCTCAGGTTTCAAGGATGTGATGCCATAATACATTTTTTTTCATTAAGGATATTATTTTCTTTTCCGCATAACCTTCCGTACACATTATCTTTTTCCTTCCGTATATTATTACATATTTCTCCAATACTGATTTTATTTTACGTCTCCAACCCTTTTATAAATGCAATTTCGTTTTTCCTTAAAAAGGTAGATTTAGAGTTTTATTAATTTTGTTTTCCTTTTTTAAGTTTCCGTATAAAAAGATAGTTTAAGGATCAATTCAATGTTTAAAACTATGCAATGAAATCTGCAGTGTCATTTATATATTTTTTACATTTTATAAGCTTATGTACATTTTCCTCAGCATTTTATGTTAAATGGTGATTTTCTGGAATCTATAAAGCTTGTAAATAGATTTATTTAAAAAGACTTCATGCGCTGGCTGTAATGATTAAAGCAAAACAATTAAATTACTAATAAATTTATTCACTAATAAGTTTGACTCGTCAAAAATACATTTGCGGGATTACTATGGGTAAGTTTTTTTTTCATCATTACATCCATTCATTAATGCGAAAAAAGTACTTTTGTGGCATTCTACAATTTTAATCTGGTAATCCGGCTTCGCTAAAATCCAAACATGCCGGATTCTTGGACTTTTGCTGCAGTCATAAATATCTTTAATAACTAAGAAAGAAAAACTAGATTTTATCTACCGAAAAAGGGAAGCAGAAAGTTTAATAATTAGGATATTATTTTAACTTTTATTATTTATTTTCGCAGCTTACAAATCTTTCGTTCATAATTTTAATAGTCCTTAATTATTTTTGTTTGTGAATTATTAGTATATATCTGTGCACATTAAACGTTTTAACATGCAACCGAATGTTATATGTCTCCAAAAAAGGTGGAAGGTAGATAAAAACACCCTCCTTTTTCAAATTGGTACCGGTAAACGGATACTGGACATTTCTTCGTTCATTTTTTACCCATTTCTTTGACGGTTGAGGAAATTTCTTAGTGACATAAAAAAGCTGCAGAACAAACAAATTTGAGAAGGCTTAACCTTGAAGTTTTCTTTCTTCGCTTATGTATCGAGTAGATCGAATGTTGATATGGGTGTTAGTGCAACTTATAAAACTGGCAGCATCATTAAAAGAGGTACCAGAAGCTATTTATATAATCAAAATCGGCTGTGTCATTCCTCTAAATTAATTGTATTTACTTAATGTATAGCTTCTGGTTTAGGCTGTTCCATTCTTATTTATCTCCTAAAACAATATCATAACACGAGAAAATTCTATGTCATTTTAAAAAGAAGTTATTGGTATTCTTTATTGTTTGGTATCTTTTTAAAAACAGATGTAAACATTTATTTGAAGTTATTCATGTAATTCCTCACTCAAGATGGTCAATGTTTTTCTGCGATTAATTTTTTTCTATTAAATAGATTGATTTTTTATGAGATAAACAAACCCTTAACTGTTGACTCATACGAAAACCCTAAAATTATAAAGTTAGCGTTTTGTATAATCTATTAATATGTAGAGATATTAGGTTATTTTTGAAAGCAGCAAATGTGAAAAATGAACAACGCCTTCGCCGGGAATCGAACCACGGATCTTTAGAATACGCGTCCAGCGTTCTGACCACTACATTACGAAGGCATGCTAAAAAGGCGGGAGAAATACCTTATAAATCTATTTCTATTCTCTTATTCTAAATAGCTGAAGGACAATTAAAACAAAAATTTGGCAACTGGTATTTCTCATAAGCAAAATTGACTTGATAATAATTTTCGACTTATTTCATTAAATGAATTTCAGAAGTGCATACTTTTCATTAAAAAAATATACTCTTATTTTTTTTTGTACTAATTGCAATTCAAAGCCACATTTTTGTAAGCAAACGGAGCATCGTTCTTTTTCTCCTTCTTGACTCCTTGTCAGACTAACGATATAATCCTTAATTGTTTTAACTATTGGAGAAGTCATCTTCTCTTTTCCTGCTTTGACTATTTTCATTATGTTGAGAAAAAGTATTGCGGTTGAAATATCAAGGGATATTTCAATGACTTTACCTATATTAACATAATTTTCAAAGCATATATTTTTTGCATCGGTTCGAACAACTTTTCCTATGAACTTCGGATTCCAGTTACAGCTTTAATCTCATCAGATTAATACAGTTTAGCTTTCTGGAAGTAATTTGTATTTACGGTAGAGTGCACTGCAGTCAGAATTAAAACAGTGCGTCTGAGCATTTTCACGTCAGTTTCTGTTCCCCTCCCTCATCTAAGTTGAAAATGTTATCTTCGTTATCTTTCTCTTTAAAACTTGGATAATGCTTCATCAAAAGGGTGTTACGAAATCCGTTTAATTTAACCATAAGCATTTACTGAAGGAAACAATTACGGAAAATTCGAATAACATCCGGTTTTGTAAATTTGAAGTCATGATATCCAAATCTATTTTTCAAAG